GATTGGATTTTCTGAGTACAGTGAACAATGCGTAGCAAGTTCCAAAGATCCACGGAACCATACACCTGCGTTCCCGAGATGCTATTGGGTAGGTAGGTCGGTACGAAAATGTCATGCCTGTTCCGCTAGATTCATTTTTGAATATGAAATTGTCCAAAAGCAATGAAACAGATGTTACTAGGCATCAGTCAAGACATGATGTCTGATGCAAAAGCGTCTTACCATATCGCTCCGAACACCCGTACTTTGCTCTTAGCCTATGCCCTTCACAATGTGTACGTTGTTCTTAATGCCACCCGGCGACAGCCAATGATTTCATCACGCTTCACAACAAACATAAAGCACAGCTCGTCAACCTAGATAAGATACCGTGAGGCATTATGTAACCAAATTATCTACGGTAACCAACGTAAGTTAAACCTTGAGTCTGTCCCCCGGGCGAAAAATCTGAAGACCGCATGCGCCCACCTACGCAACATGGGCGACGATTTTCAGACCTGGGCGACTGAACACCGTCGATGATTAAAATGTGTTGGATCTACTTCTGGCTTTCTTTATGTGGTGAAGAACTAGCACCAGGTCATGAACTAAGGAATCCGAGAATACAGATCCGTCAGTGATGGGGTCTGTAAACCGCGCATCTATCTCGATTTCTATTGGCACAGTCATACATAACTAACTGCCAAGCGCAAACTACAACATCGCGGCATCTTGATCAGATGAAGGCGATTTTGCTTAGGAATGATAGGATCCCGATACTTTGAGCAAAAGGTGGCTGATTTATAAAACTTGCTTGACTGCCAAGTTGGAACGCTTGAAAAATGCAGCGTTAACAACCTAGATCCATACCCGCTTGTTTTCAAGCGTCGTTATCTATCTTATTGTGCATCCTGTTTCAGTTATTCTATTTGTTTATTAAAATAATAAATATTTATTATTTAATAATAAACATTTTTGCTTATTTTAATTTATAATTATGTTATTTATGTAATTATTCATCTAATTATGTATCTCCATTTTACAGTTCAGTTCAGTCCTTGCTCACTAACACATGCGATCTTTTTGTTCTATGCCCACATCAAATATGATCTTTTTGCAGGTGTGCAGCCAAAATTTGCGACGGGGAGGGGACTACCATGATTTGCGACGGGGACTTTTTACCAGGGAGTCCCAGCACTGCGAACAAACTGAGAGATCCCACAAACCCGCAAACCCTAATAGTACAATGCCTAGCATATTAATGAGAGCAATCGGCGTTAAATTGTCCTGGTGCCTCAAACATCTGCTTCAGCTGCATACCGTACAGGTTCACTTGGCAATCCGCCAGTCTTGTTACTAAATTAGGACTGTTGGGCTCTACATGGAACTTCCATGGTAGTGTCTATGAGACTAACGCCTAACGCCCCCCCCCCCTTTAGCCGCGCCATTGTCTATGGATTTGCAGCGAGACCAGCAAGGGATAATTCTTCGACACTCAGGCGTTCCTTCCGTGGCACCCGTTTCCATATTTGACGCAGAATTCGCAATCTCCGCCAGTTCCAGCCCCGCAGTCGGTGTCAGCAGTTCTTGACCGTCATCATGTGACGTCATCAGCTGCCGGCGATGATGATGATAATTGACATTATGGAGCGCGTGGGCTTCTTATGTCATTTTGTGTTCTGCCATCAGCTGTCAGTGACCAATGACCTCATTGCGGCCAGCGTCATCACCCGATGGTGTCTGTTAGGACCTTCGCACACGATGTTTTCCGGAAACCACTTCGTACCTTTCCCGGGATTGCTTCATGCTCGTGAATAGTTGCCCACTGCCAGGATACTTAAACCGTTTTTTTTTAAATCCAGCCGTCCTGCTGGTCCTG